GTGCTTTTATCTTACTATTTTAGTTTATTAAGTTAAAATTTAATTGCTATCATTTTTATTATTTTATTGAGTAATGATTGTTTTCATAATGCTATTATTCTAGATAAATTAATTTATTTGTGTGTTGATTATTTATATTGGGAAGGAAAATTATGAGATTTTTTTTATTCATATGGCTATTATTTTTAAGATAAAATAGTGTTAGGCATTACTATGTTATTAAATAGGCTGTAAAATGTGCATAAGTGTATGATTTATTATGATAATTAAAATGAAGGATTGAAAGTCAACTTTGGGCAAGGAAGAAAAAAGTGAAATTTTGAGAACATATAAAAGAAAGAAAATAAATTAAGGATAAGTTTGGAATTGGATTGGGAGAGAGTGAAAATGGAGTTGGAAGCAGTGAAGAGGTATTTGGAGAAAGGAGTGGGAACATCATCGGAGGTTGATGCTTTGCCACCGAGGTTTTTGGAACCCCTAATAATGAATTCGCTTAAGGTTGATCTCATTGAACCTGGTCGCATTCTCTGTTCCATGAAGATACCTCAACGTTTACTCGTACGTACACTCGCTCACGCCTTTTTCCTCTTTCGTTTTTTTATATATATTTTTATTTTCTCGTTTTAATTCTCTTATTGGATTTTGTTTGTACAGAACGCTGACAATACGTTGGAAGGTGGTGCCGCCGCTGCGCTGGTGGATGTGGTGGGTTCCGCCGTGATTCCCACCGTTGGGTGCGGTCCGAATACGGGGGTTTCCGTTGAGATTAATGTTTCCTACTTGGATGCTGCCTATGTCGATGTATCTCACCAATCTATCTATCTTCTTTGATTATTGATTTGTGATTTGTTATAATGATCCATTTACTTGATAAATGAATCATAGTAACGGGGTCAGGTTTGGTTTGGGTGACTGATTTTTTTTCCTTTAATTGCTCTTTAAAATGCAAGCGGTCACCTTTGGTGTTTCTTCCTTGGATTTTCTGTCACGTTGTATTGAATTGAGTGACAGTGCCGTTAGAAGAACATTAATTTAGTGTGTATTCGGGGTGAAGGGGGTAAACGGGATGTGGGTTTTGAATTTCCGAGACTTGGTTGCTGAAATGTGTAGTTTTTGACCAAACATGTTGCTCAAGTTCTAGACATGGCCACCTTAACTTCTCTGATTATTTGGTAACTATTTTGCAAATGATCAGAAGAAAAGTAAAAATCTTTTCTATGTTAGGTAGGTGGGGGTGTGGTGTGTTGGAGAACTTGATTGGTTGACATGACCTATTCTTTGAATTATTGCAATACCAGACTGATTGTTTCAAACATGTATTTGGAGGAGTGGAATTTTAGGAGTTGTTATTGTGGTTTCTGATAATGGATGTAATGCAAAACTATTACTGCAGTAATAATACTTTTACATTGTTGTGTAAGGAGGAGATTGAGATCGAGGCCAGAGCACTGCGTGTTGGGAAGGTTGTTGCTGTTATAAGCGTAGAGNAAAAAGGTCAGTTGGAAAGAGGGCACCGTAGACAATGAGTTTATGCAGAAGAAGAGTTCCAAGAAATGCTGTATCTTCCATAAAGAGAGGCCCTTTGATGAAGATGACAGCGATGAAGATGAACATCACTCTGACAAATGCCCTCACGATAGTGGGTTTTGCTGTAAGAATCATGATGAAGCTGGCCCAAGTAGCTAGAGAATTGATTCAGCTGAGTGGTGATTAATGAAAGCTAAAGAATATATTTGTAGAGTAACTGGTGACATCGTTGAACTTAGCTTTGCAACTCAATAATTATTTAATTTTGGTTGCAATTATAAGATTACGACATTGAAACTAGAGAATGTTCAGTTTAAATTTGAGTGTCACAAATAATTGCCTACTTTAGTAGTGAAAGAGTTTCACCAGTTTTTGTCACAATTCCTGTGTTTAAAGAATGAGGGTTCTTTTCGAAAAGAAAATTTGTTCTTTTGGTTTGACCCTTCGGTCTTCTCTACTGTACCATACGTAGACCAGCCCCCTATATGTTGTGGAATAGCTCACAAATTCACTCAAAATCAACTACCACACAAACACAGAAAACAGCAGTGCAAGCGCCGGAAACGATAAAGAACAAGCATACATAACATGATTTGAATGAAATATTATTGACTGAGAAAGTTTAATAAATCAGAGATTACAATATGTAAGTTTCTCTCTCATGGCAAACTTCTCACTTGAGATAACTAAAATGTTACAACTCATAGTTAACCTAATACAAAGTGTACAAGGTCCTATATATACATGGATTATGTTATAACGATCAAACATGAGACATAAACTCAAATCTGAAGACAGAAGAAGTGTATGAACAATGCTTCTAACACAGAAGCTTAGTAGCCACTAGATGATACCCCATCAGACGATTTAACCAAATTGTACATAATATATACTAGACGATACAAGACTAATAATCTTATCTTCACTTATTACATGTATTGTCTATTGCATGTAATTTTTGAATCATTTAACTATAACAGGAAACTCTTAAACAAGATCATACTGAGTTAAATCTTCACAATTTATGTGTATGTGCTTTTATCTTACTATTTTAGTTTATTAAGTTAAAATTTAATTGCTATCATTTTTATTATTTTATTGAGTAATGATTGTTTTCATAATGCTATTATTCTAGATAAACTAATTTATTTGTGTGTTGATTATTTATATTGGGAAGGAAAATTATGAGATTTTTTTTATTCATATGGCTATTATTTTTAAGATAAAATAGTGTTAGGCATTACTATGTTATTAAATAGGCTGTAAAATGTGCATAAGTGTATGATTTATTATGATAATTAAAATGAAGGATTGAAAGTCAACTTTGGGCAAGGAAGAAAAAAGTGAAATTTTGAGAACATATAAAAGAAAGAAAATAAATTAAGGATAAGTTTGGAATTGGATTGGGAGAGAGTGAAAATGGAGTTGGAAGCAGTGAAGAGGTATTTGGAGAAAGGAGTGGGAACATCATCGGAGGTTGATGCTTTGCCACCGAGGTTTTTGGAACCCCTAATAATGAATTCGCTTAAGGTTGATCTCATTGAACCTGGTCGCATTCTCTGTTCCATGAAGATACCTCAACGTTTACTCGTACGTACACTCGCTCACGCCTTTTTCCTCTTTCGTTTTTTTATATATATTTTTATTTTCTCGTTTTAATTCTCTTATTGGATTTTGTTTGTACAGAACGCTGACAATACGTTGGAAGGTGGTGCCGCCGCTGCGCTGGTGGATGTGGTGGGTTCCGCCGTGATTCCCACCGTTGGGTGCGGTCCGAATACGGGGGTTTCCGTTGAGATTAATGTTTCCTACTTGGATGCTGCCTATGTCGATGTATCTCACCAAACTATCTATCTTCTTTGATTATTGATTTGTGATTTGTTATAATGATCCATTTACTTGATAAATGAATCATAGTAACGGGGTCAGGTTTGGTTTGGGTGACTGATTTTTTTTCCTTTAATTGCTCTTTAAAATGCAAGCGGTCACCTTTGGTGTTTCTTCCTTGGATTTTCTGTCACGTTGTATTGAATTGAGTGACAGTGCCGTTAGAAGAACATTAATTTAGTGTGTATTCGGGGTGAAGGGGGTAAACGGGATGTGGGTTTTGAATTTCCGAGACTTGGTTGCTGAAATGTGTAGTTTTTGACCAAACATGTTGCTCAAGTTCTAGACATGGCCACCTTAACTTCTCTGATTATTTGGTAACTATTTTGCAAATGATCAGAAGAAAAGTAAANTCTTTTTTCATATATATATATATATATATATATATATATATATATATAATTTTTTTTTTCTTTCATGAACAACCTCTTATAAGACTCTCGAACATTTTAATTTTAGTCTAATTAGTAATTGAAATATTTTGATTAATAAAATAAATTTATTTTCGTTTGTATGATCTAAATAATTAAGAAGAGCATGTTGTGATGGGTCAAGATGTGATCTGAACCGGAAAGTTGGTTATGCTAATAAGAGCTATGTGATAATCTTCTCTTCTTCCTTCTGTTTTCTATTTCTTTTATTTTTTTCTAACAAAACGAAAAGCCTACGGCCAGATTCTACGGCGCGAGTTTGAGAGGAGGAGAGATCGAGTTATAGAAACCAAAACGTGGTAGGCATAGGGGGCGCGATTTTTTGAGAAAGAGAAGGAGATTCTTCGGGATTCTGGAGTTTTTGGGCAAACTTGGGAGAAAGTCTAATTAGGAACAAAGCGAAGAGGACGAAGGAGAAAGAGAGAGCGCGGAGGACGTGAGTTCGGTGCGCGAGCAGTACGAGATTAGGGTTTTCGGGTTTAATTGTGAGAATATATCGAACCAGGTATTAGAAAACTCACCTAGTCTAAATTCATGCTTATAATGTGTATTCTGTTATGCAACACGATATGGGTTTATTTCCAATATATGGGTGTTATCTTGGTGCTCGATTATTTCGTTTGACGTTCAAATAGTTATGTCTGTATTTGCAGTATATAAGAATGGTTGTTTGTTGCCTTGGTGCACTTGTTATTGTTCTCGGTTATGGTGTTTTTGTGTTTTAAACCTTTAAATGTCAGATTGTGGATGTTGTAAATGTATATGGAATGTGTTCTCCTTGTGTTAGAGTGATTTCCACTTATTTGGTTGCTGTGGTGACTAATTCATGTGATTGGTGTGTATTACAAGTGCCTAAGTCCCTTTTTCATATGCCTACCTAGTTAACTAGGTGTTACCTCTGAACTGCATTATATCATTGCAAGATCATTGATTCACGTGACATGCAGATGAGTTGACATCTATTTTACTGTACTGTTGTGTTGCTGCACTGTTTGGATGACCCTTTTAAAACTAAATCCATTTTTGCAATGGACATATACAAGTCTAACAGTTCTTAATATTGTAAATTCGTAATATTAAAAAAGCTCTAGAATTTATACTACGCATTTTGTCAAGTTTGTCAAAAGTCCAGTTAAAAAATGAAATGAAAGGTTAGAAGATGTGAAAACATGGTGTGTTCTTGACCCAATGTGGAGACGAGTTATGTCTGCTATGCCTTTCTACCTTGCTTAGCAATAACCAATTCAAAGGGTTGTTGGAATTTCGAAAGTTTTGTTTTTTGGAGTTTCGAAAGATGGTCACATTATGTTTTTGGGTTGAGCTTTAGTGATTATTTGACATTGGATTTGTCCGGATCTTGAAACCTTTTGGGATGAACATACTATGAAATGTTTTTTGGATTTGGCCAAAGTTGTTGGAATTCATTTAATTGTTGTACTAGGTTTGTTTTGGTTTTGGAAGGTTTCTTATAACAGGATTGTATGGTGGTGGAATATGGGTATCCGATCCTTATAGGAACATGCAATCCTTAAATATTGCCTAAGATGTATAAGGTTTTGGTGCTTTTGTACAGGTGGGGGAATTGCTTCTAATCATATTTAATGCTGATTGTTTTCAACATTAGGAATAGATTATGCCACTTTTCAGTGTTGGTATTCTTCTTCTGAAGAGCAAAATCAGGTAGTAGATGTAAAATTTTGCTCTAACAAAATTAAGAAGTGAGGCCTGGATCAAACCACCAAAATTATCAATAGATAATCATACTGTCAATTGTTTTCTTAATATTAGAATGTGCAAACAAGCTATTTGCGGCACATCAGAGGGGAAGGGAAACGAACATGCAGTCGATGGATCACTGATTCAACGGAATATTCATTTTTAGATTGAATTGGGTTTCTCTTTTGATTCTGTTTTACTTTTTCATTCCCCACTTTATTGGGGATATCGACAGGGACACTGACCCTTTTTATATCCTGTTGTAGCACTTTGGGACATGGGGCAGCGACTGGTACATTACGCTAAAATAATGCAAAAAAAACTTGAGAAACATAGAAGTTTGTCAAATTAAATTTGATTATTAAACATTGACATTATTTCATATTCTAAGTTGAATGCAGATTGAAGGAGAATAAACCACAAAAATTAGTATTTTGTCTCTCCAATTTCTTGATAAGTCAGAGAACAGTCACGGACAGACGCACGAACACCACCAGACCAGTAGCGATGTCTTCCTCTTCTATCACTGCCACAACCACCATAACAATTCAAAGCTCAGAGCCATCAACCTCTTCATCTCAGAACCAACAACAGCAACCTGAAGAAGTACTTTTCCTTCCCCTCAATCGCAAGAAGAAAAAGGTCAGTTGGAAAGAGGGCACCGTAGACAATGAGTTTATGCAGAAGAAGAGTTCCAAGAAATGCTGTATCTTCCATAAAGAGAGGCCCTTTGATGAAGATGACAGCGATGAAGATGAACATCACTCTGACAAATGCCCTCACGATAGTGGGTTTTGCTGTAAGAATCATGATGAAGCTGGCCCAAGTAGCTAGAGAATTGATTCAGCTGAGTGGTGATTAATGAAAGCTAAAGAATATATTTGTAGAGTAACTGGTGACATCGTTGAACTTAGCTTTGCAACTCAATAATTATTTAATTTTGGTTGCAATTATAAGATTACGACATTGAAACTAGAGAATGTTCAGTTTAAATTTGAGTGTCACAAATAATTGCCTACTTTAGTAGTGAAAGAGTTTCACCAGTTTTTGTCACAATTCCTGTGTTTAAAGAATGAGGGTTCTTTTCGAAAAGAAAATTTGTTCTTTTGGTTTGACCCTTCGGTCTTCTCTACTGTACCATACGTAGACCAGCCCCCGATATGTTGTGGAATAGCTCACAAATTCACTCAAAATCAACTACCACACAAACACAGAAAACAGCAGTGCAAGCGCCGGAAACGATAAAGAACAAGCATACATAACATGATTTGAATGAAATATTATTGACTGAGAAAGTTTAATAAATCAGAGATTACAATATGTAAGTTTCTCTCTCATGGCAAACTTCTCACTTGAGATAACTAAAATGTTACAACTCATAGTTAACCTAATACAAAGTGTACAAGGTCCTATATATACATGGATTATGTTATAACGATCAAACATGAGACATAAACTCAAATCTGAATCAGACGATTTAACCAAATTGTACATAATATATACTAGACGATACAAGACTAATAATCTTATCTTCACATGTATTGTTTATTGCATGTAATTTTTGAATCATTTAACTATAACAGGAAACTCTTAAACAAGATCATTCTGAGTTAAATCTTCACAATTTATGTGTACGTGCTTTTATCTTACTATTTTAGTTTATTAAGTTAAAATTTAATTGCTATCATTTTTATTATTTTATTGAGTAATGATTGTTTTCATAATGCTATTATTCTAGATAAATTAATTTATTTGTGTGTTGATTATTTATATTGGGAAGGAAAATTATGAGATTTTTTTTATTCATATGGCTATTATTTTTAAGATAAAATAGTGTTAGGCATTACTATGTTATTAAATAGGCTGTAAAATGTGCATAAGTGTATGATTTATTATGATAATTAAAATGAAGGATTGAAAGTCAACTTTGGGCAAGGAAGAAAAAAGTGAAATTTTGAGAACATATAAAAGAAAGAAAATAAATTAAGGATAAGTTTGGAATTGGATTGGGAGAGAGTGAAAATGGAGTTGGAAGCAGTGAAGAGGTATTTGGAGAAAGGAGTGGGAACATCATCGGAGGTTGATGCTTTGCCACCGAGGTTTTTGGAACCCCTAATAATGAATTCGCTTAAGGTTGATCTCATTGAACCTGGTCGCATTCTCTGTTCCATGAAGATACCTCAACGTTTACTCGTACGTACACTCGCTCACGCCTTGTTCCTCTTTCGTTTTTTTATATATATTTTTATTTTCTCGTTTTAATTCTCTTATTGGATTTTGTTTGTACAGAACGCTGACAATACGTTGGAAGGTGGTGCCGCCGCTGCGCTGGTGGATGTGGTGGGTTCCGCCGTGATTCCCACCGTTGGGTGCGGTCCGAATACGGGGGTTTCCGTTGAGATTAATGTTTCCTACTTGGATGCTGCCTATGTCGATGTATCTCACCAAACTATCTATCTTCTTTGATTATTGATTTGTGATTTGTTATAATGATCCATTTACTTGATAAATGAATCATAGTAACGGGGTCAGGTTTGGTTTGGGTGACTGATTTTTTTTCCTTTAATTGCTCTTTAAAATGCAAGCGGTCACCTTTGGTGTTTCTTCCTTGGACTTTCTGTCACGTTGTATTGAATTGAGTGACAGTGCCGTTAGAAGAACATTAATTTAGTGTGTATTCGGGGTGAAGGGGGTAAACGGGATGTGGGTTTTGAATTTCCGAGACTTGGTTGCTGAAATGTGTAGTTTTTGACCAAACATGTTGCTCAAGTTCTAGACATGGCCACCTTAACTTCTCTGATTATTTGGTAACTATTTTGCAAATGATCAGAAGAAAAGTAAAAATCTTTTCTATGTTAGGTAGGTGGGGGTGTGGTGTGTTGGAGAACTTGATTGGTTGACATGACCTATTCTTTGAATTATTGCAATACCAGACTGATTGTTTCAAACATGTATTTGGAGGAGTGGAATTTTAGGAGTTGTTATTGTGGTTTCTGATAATGGATGTAATGCAAAACTATTACTGCAGTAATAATACTTTTACATTGTTGTGTAAGGAGGAGATTGAGATCGAGGCCAGAGCACTGCGTGTTGGGAAGGTTGTTGCTGTTATAAGCGTAGAGTTCAAGAAGAAAAAAACTGGCAAAATTTTTGCCCAGGGACGACATACCAAATTTCTTCCTGCTTCCAGTAAATTGTGAAGGACCAAATTGCACCCAAATAAACGGTTCAAGTTAAATGTTGTCTCGCCTTTCTGATTAAGTTTCCTCAATCTCATGCAATTACTTCAATACTTTGAATTTTCTGTACCAGTTATTGTTGTTACATAGGGGCTTCTCCTTATTTTTAAACGATGAGGGCCATGTATGCTCGAAGTGGTTTTTTACCTTTTTTACTTTGAATCTTATAATGCATGTATATATTTGAATCTTGACAACAATTTTTACTTAAATCTTCATTTAATGATGGATATATAGTCATGTGGAGCTATGCTTGTTCTTTATTGGTCTTCTGAGCTGGTCTATTCCAAATAAGTTCCTTTTGAAATGATACTCGTTGTTTGCACTTCATTATAGCAATCGTATAATTTATTTCTCACGTTTCATTTTATACAATTTAGCTCTTTCTCATCATGGCAGCAAATTCCCCATAAGCTATCTGTCCATCCTGCACAACAAATCTTCCATTAACCCAAATAACAGGTTGCCAACTTTATAATCAAGTGTTGAAGAAGCTTATGACAACTACAAACAAGCGCTAGATAGCAGGAAAAACAAACGAATACTTATTATGTTGTCTTGATCAATTTCTTTGACAATTTCATCAATATGGACATCCTACAAACCGAAATCCTTACAAGCCTGTTGTATCTCATCAATGGTTATGTACGCACTTCCATCTTTGTCAAGATAGGAGAAAGCTGACACCAGATTTTCCTCCCTCTCCAACTTATTCAAGTGAACCGTAGCAACAATGAATTCACCATAGTCAAGTGTCCCACTGTTATCAATATCTGCCTGTAACGTGCAAGATCATACATCTTGTTCAACAGTTAAATATTCACGGCAAAACAGCACAGATAACAAAAGCAAATGGTCTTATTGCATCCATGAGATCCTTGATTTTAGTCTCCATTAGATCAGATAACAAAAAACCTATGACTTTTTGCCTCTCTTGTTTATGTCTCGTTTGAAAAACCAAAGTGTATTGTAAAAAATAACTACTGTCGTTTTTCTTCGCTGCACTAGTGAGGGTGTTTGATTATGGTTGATATAATCAGAATGTATGTATCTTGGGTGTTTGATTATGATTGATGTAATCAGAAGATATGTATCTTGTTGTATGTTTGATTATGGTTGATATAATCAGTATGTATGTATCTTGTTGTTATGATTGTTTTATCGGTAGCTTATTCCATACATGTTTGTGTTTGTGTGTTTGTGAATGAAATTATCGGTGATGATTGTATAATGTATTATACGTGAGCAGATGTTATTGCAGATGTTCCAGAAGCATGATATATTCTTGAGATGACGGGAAAGATTTGGGTTTCTTTCAAAAAACTCTTTTGGTTATAGACTTTTGAAACAAGTAATTGTAGTTGTTTTATTTCCTAGTCATTTTAATTACTTTTGGAATAATGTAACTAGACAAAGTTTTTAAAATTATTATGTTTTAAATAAATTATGCATGTTGAACGGTTAAGGTTTTTGAAAAATACATTTTCACACTATGATAAAGTTTTGAAATTTACCGATTTTTATAAAACCGTGACATTTCAAATTTGGGGTATTACACTGTCGTCTCCCCACATTGTGTACTCTCGCACACACGTCATCTCCGGACCTGCATTCTCTGCTGTTCTTGTGAGATTGTTTGATCTATGCATTCTTTGCTTTCGTCCTGGATAATTAGGTTTTTTTCTTGCCTTAAATATTAACGTATTTGAATTGTGTCTTGACTTCAAAAGTCACGATTTAGGATCACACATTTCGTAGCCCCATTTTCCCCGAGGTTTAGGTCTTGTTCTTTGCTGTTTCCATTCATATTTGCTTAGTCAAGGTAATTGTTAACTATGATGCATATAAATACATGTAGTCCTTATACTTAATCATGAGTTGTCACATCATTACAATTGTAATGGACTCTAATAAGGAAATGAGTTCCAAAATGATGGTTCAAAAAAAATTTGATAGTGATATTAGAGTATATTCCTATTTGGTCTTCCTTTGTAGTAAGGAATGATAACTGAAGTATCCTGTGTATAGCAAATTTTTTTATCTAGAAACATAAAATAGAGAAAAATCTTAATTATAAACTCTTTCACCTGAATGGAAACAGTATTCAAGGGAAGAAGTGTTTGTATTTCATATTTACGTTGTGAGTGAAATTTGTAAAAACAACATCTTATTATAGTTAAACATCGTATTATAGATAATCTTGGTAGGCGTTTGTATACTTGTGCTTAAAATTAAGGAGTGTTAATAAATAATTTAGAGAACTTTGTTATGTTTTATTAAAGAGACATTGTATATTCATATAATTACGAGTGATTATTTTGTCTTCTTGTAAAGTTATACATAATTTTG